GGGGGGGGGCGATTTCCCCCCCCCTCCCCCCCAATAAATTAAGCACAGAAACGTATCATTATCACGTTCAAATAAGGTGAAGGGTATTATCTTCTGGGATGTGACGCCGTCTGGTTCGTCTCAGTCACCAGTTATTCCGCAAATCTGTCTCTACACGTCCCCACCGCTACAATGTTTTATTTTATGTTCTCTGCGTGATTATATCTTTAATTTACACTGTTTCTCTTTCCGTCGACAACATTAGCTGCGCGGTCTAAGGCATTAACTCTCTTCGCTTCCTCGAATGCTGGGATCATGGGTTCGAATCCCACTCAAGGCATGGATGTCTGCATTTATTCTGTGTGTAGGTAGCGGCCTTGCGATAGCCTGATTCCCCGTACAAGGAGTCCTACCGACCATCTAAGATTAAGAAACTGAAATGAAACGAAGCGTTTTGCAGACGCCCTGTGCTCCAAGTGAGAGAAACAGGGATACAGACAAACAGATAGATTCCCTTTTCATTTCAGGCATAACTCCATCTATAAATGTCCTTATCTAACCATAAACACACACAAAATTAATGTAACGGTGAGATGAAAGCTCTGAAAGTATGCAATTTGGGGCTACAATTATGTCAACCTTCAACACACTGCACGAGTATGTTATGTAACAGTTTTCAAACGAGCAAGCTGTCTTCTATTTCAGTGTACGAGTATCTTGTCTATCATGTGAGTACTTATAACATTTTGATGTGAAGTATAATATTCTATATAAATGAGAACGTTGACTATTCATTCGTGTTATCTGTGGGGGATGGTGTTAAACGTCGGCCTCGATGTACCATTCAGTAACATGTAGGACTCGAAAGAAATACCACAGAAAGCATGTGAAGTTAATAGTACAACTGCTTGTGTAACAAGCAATAAGACTTCATGCTGAATTCTCGAAGAGTACTGTATGTTCTGGACACTCATCAACTAAATTTTTTCTCTTTGGTTTAATACTTTGTATTCTACCCCATGAGTTAGTGTACTTTCAAACATTGAATAATTCATTAAATTTCCTATTCCCCCAGGTTGTGAGACTCTTTGTGGCTGAAAATGAACACTAAACACAGAGGTATATTCGTTAAAAATGATAAAGTATCACAGCAATCAATCACGCAGTTCCAGGTTGAAAGAAATGGGTACAGAACAGGACATGGAACCGTTCTTGTTACCTAATGATAGCTTCACACTTTCAAATGCAGAACTGAGCACAAAAGCATATAATCAAAGGGGCTGACACTTTCAACTTAGAGGTCAGAAATTAAATAGGCTGTAACAACTTCCTGTCTCACATCGGAGGCAGGACAGTGTACCAGTGCTCTAAAAAGCACGATGGCATCATCCTAGATTGCCCTGGCTCAACTAAATGATGTGTAGCACAAATGATGACTTGCACATTTGTAGAGTAAGGAATCAGAAAGCGCTGCTATTGTGTAAAGGCGAAGGTAAAGTTGTTGCTGTAATTAATCGCTCCAGGTGCATTCCATGAATATGTATGAGTGAGCAGAGATATAGCTCCACCATTCTTGACCTCAGCACTATGTGGAGGTGAGTAGTCAGCTTCATGCCCCTGCCACTTTACCCCAGGGAAAGTGCCCCACTGGATAGGAGACTGGTTGTTATGATGAGAAACAGGTAAAGTACAGTTGAACATTCTGAGTCTAGAAGCAACATACAAGTGTTCCACTTCATGTCAGAATGTTGTAGTATAATCGGACTTTCAAAATGCCTGAGCAGAGGTAGAAGTGCACGGTGACTCACAGTGCTTTGTATGAGTATGATACTCCATGGCCTGTAGTCCACAAGCAAACTATACCGACCGAGCGACTGCCGCTTGTCGGCGAAGTTAGTGCCAACTTGCAACAGATCCCCATGACTGTTAATCTCGGCTTTTCTAGACCAGAGCTGCTATTTCCTTGAAATAGCTCCTCAATTATCCTCAAGAGGCTGAGTGAACCCCATTCCAGACCCACTACTTCTCAGAATATCTGGTAGCGCCGGGAATAGAACTCGGGACCTCTGGATCTATAGCCAGGAACCCTGACCATTAGACCACAGAGGCGGTCATCAGTATCATATCCGACAGTAAAATGATTCATGATCTTGATAGATCTGAGATTCTCACAGCAATGACCATGCAGAGTGCTGCCTTCTGGGATGTGACACAGTGTTTTCTTTATGTGGGTTATCTCATGATGCTCTCAGCAGCTAGACAATACAGCAAGGATGATGTCTAACAATAGTACAACACAGTAGAGCATGAATCGACAATATGAAATGATATTTACATGTACATCTAAATCCCATTCGAACATAACTGTAAATACCAGTTTCAGGAACATTCCAATACAAGTTATTTTAACACAGTCAAACTCTTTATGCAGGAGCAGAACCAATCTCTGCATAAACGGTATAAATTATTCTTTGAATTATTTTATAAATCATTTTTCAATGTACACAACATTTTGTAATATGGATCCATGATAGTTACAGCCCATAATCTTTCGTCTTCTCATCTGCTGTCTAAAAACATAAAAATTACAATATACAAAACTATAATTTTTGCATGTGGTTCTGTACGGGTGTGAAACTTGGTCTCTGACTTTAAGGGAGGAACATAGACTGAGGGTGTTTGAGAACAGGGTGCTGAGGAGAATATTTGGACCAAAGAGAGATGAAGTGACAGGAGGTTGGAGAAAAATGCATAATGAAAAGCTTCATAATTTTTACTCTTCTCCAAGTAGAATTAGAATGCTCAAATCAAGGAGGATGAGATGGGCAGGGCATGTAGCACGAATGAGGGAGAAGCAGAATGTATATAGGATATTGGTGGGAAGGTCAGAAAGAGAACACTGGGAAGGCCAAGGCATAGGTCAGTGAACATTGTTGAAATGAATCTGAAAGAGATAGGATGGGATGGTATGAACTGGATTTATCTGGCTCAGGATAGGGACCAGTGGAGGGCCCTTGTGAACACGGTAATCAACCTTCTGGTTCCATAAAATGCTGGAAAGATCTTGAGTAGCTGCAGAATTGGCAAGGGCTCAGCTCCATCAGTGAGTGAATAGTGACAATTCAATATTTATGACTCTATATATTGTATCGCCTCATGACGGCTCTGTGAAAGCCAAAACGTAAGTTAAATAAACTAAGCTGACACAAGTGCAGAAGTGAGTTTATCTGCTTTTTGCGTTAACACATCTGTAAAAATGAATATATGGAAAGGATCTGAATGCAAGCAATCCAGGTACTATCCTAGCATCTGCCTGGTGAGACCAAGGAAAACAATAAAACCCTCAACTGACACAATGTAGCCTGGTAGAAATTCACCAACGTTTTGGAGGAACATGCTGCCTTCATCTTCTACCCTGAAGATGGAGGCAACAGGGTTCTCTGAAACACTGGTAAATACCCACCACACTACATGTCACCATATGACAGAAGACAGTAATCTTCATTTGATGATCTTATTTCTTTCAAACGCAGAACGTTCGTTACGAATTGGCAGCAACACTGGTGGAACATCAACGAGCGACAATTCATCTTCTGGATATTCTGTGTCCTTTGTACCTCTGTTCAGTCTTCTTATGAATTTCTTCCCACGACTGTTCAGCAGGTTCAGCGGTGTTAACCATGGTGGATCTCGAAGTAAGTAACACTCAGAAAACTAAAACATTTCATGAAATAGTGTTCTCAAGCATCATACACGTACTGTGTTGTGTACATTTGTATATTACCTGGGCAACTGCAGTATATTACAAACAATTTTGTATTTCAGCAACACGTTTCAACCACACTGATCATCTTCAGGCTAAGTTAGTACATTCCTTCCAGCGAAATTGCCGTTACTGTAATAGATATCAGCCAGTATCTGTATTAGCTTAATTTCTTCATATTGTCATTTGTAGGGGTGACTATTAGACAGGGTTTGGATTGTATGATTCGATTTATTAACCATTTGTATGCACCACTCAGAACTACACTTTACAGATCACTGACACACAAACAATAGTGTTCTCAGTGTATTACAGTCTCCATTATCAGTTTCCTGACAATGGATTTTAACACAGGAACTAAAAGTCTCTCACTGAAGTACACACTCCAAATATCACGGTACTATAACACACATAAAGTCTTCTTTTCACAGGCTGACTGCCAACTGAACTCGTTGCCATCTCTTCTCCACCAACTTCGACTGCCATCCCAAGAGACTCCCTCAAAACTTTTTCTGCTGGCCTTGGATCCTTATATAGCCTCGGGTCGGCCTCAACAGAAAACAGTTTCCTAACAATTCCCCTATTGTTAGAGGTGTTTACCTTGCAATTGCATAGAATCTGCAGTGCTTTGATTGTTGCTTGCATATTCGTTGCCAAAGGAATGTGCTTACCGAGCCGTTGCCTAGCACTGAACTATTCTGGCTTTTTAGGTGTCATGTCACAATATATACAAAATTGAGCCGTTCTAAGGTTTAGCTCGCTCACGTATGATGTCATCATGTTTCCCTTGACGGATTCCATCCTCACTATGCAGTATCCTGACGTCAGTCACGTGGTCCCATGTACCCTCTCGTGAAGGGGAGACTCGTACAGTGCAGTCGTGTAGACCAAGTTGACTTGGAAGGTCGGTTACTAGCCAGCAGGGTTGTTGTGGAAAATATTTGTTTCGGCTGGGTCTGTTCTAAATTCCCTTTTGGTGCTATCTGGCTGGCCGGTAAGGACTGCCCGCGGTCGCAAGCCGTTACTTGAACGCTTGCGACATGCGTTATTAGATTTGGTTTGGTATTTTTTTCAGAATTAGACTTGTGTTTGTATAGCCTGAGTGTTTAACGTCCTAATATGTCTAGTGTCGACACAAGAGGTGCTGACGGGAAATTGTTTTGTTCTAAATGAGCTTGTATTAGTTTCTTGGTCAAATGTGTCGTTTGTTGTTTATGTACTGTTATATATTTTTTATTACAATTGTAATTGTTCTTATCTAAGCCAACGAACTGAGTGTAGCCTCCTCCTCCTAGCTTGGATACCCCATGTCCATCTAGGGGAGCGTGGGAACCAACAATAGGGCCAGTAACGATTGCGCTGTGCCCTTTCTCTTCGTAATAATAATAATAACATAATTATAATCAGAAGGAGAAGAAGACGAAGGGCGCGGTGCAAAATTATAACATTAAAATTGCTACATGGGTTCTTATGCAATGAAAACAAATGCACACTCTGCTGGTCCTTGTTTCAGAGTTAAATTTTGATGACAGTGCCCAGTTCCAATGGCTTTACCATTCATGTTTCCTTCGGCTCATGTTCACTCAACAGCAAGTGTTGTTGCTGTGTGTTGTTTTATTTGTTCTGTGCAATGGTTCTTCCAATTTTCTTATGCATGGCTGTATTTGTTGTCTTCTGCCTGTCTGGGAGATGCCAATGAGAACATCAACCAACCATCTCCTGAAAAATGCACACCTCATCTCATTCTGTCTCCAAACTAATTCATTGTAACACTGCCTTCAAGACAACTACCCCCTCATATTCTTCCTGCCTTACTAATTATACCTTATCTCAACAGTAAGGCCAAAGGGCCTAAGACCCACAGTAGGGGTCAGAGGACTGGGTTTGTTATGACACCTTGATGACCCTCTCACCCACCCTTCTCCAGTAACAATGTGGAAGTACTGCTAGGGTAACCCAAGTTACCAGATCAAGCTCACATGAATGGCTTTATTAAACGCATGTCCATTATGTCTTTTGATAACTTTAGGAACAGTATTTATTTCCCCAGTGTGAACACATTTGTTCTACAAGTTAATACACCATCTTTGAAGTCAGTCACTTAATTACATTTAGTTCAACAACAGTGTGAACTGCAAGGTTACAACCAGTTGCAGAGAAACAAAAATGTGGGTGGCTTAGCAGAGAGGGAAGAGATTCTTCCCCAAAACAGGAGTGGAAGTGGAATCTCCACTTGTAGTTCACACATTTTCCAGAGTTTCAGATCCACCAGCTGACACTGATTTCCTCACTGTCGTGATGTCAGCCACTGTAAAAGGCACAAGGCCAACATAAAGAAGCAAACGCTCATAGTGTAGACACACAACACAACGCAACAGGAAGAGCCACCCAGCACCTTGGAACATACCAGCATGTAGATGGGACTACACGCTGAACATTAAAACCACGAAACGGAGGCAGAGCAGTTTTCACCAACAATTTTTTAAACACCTGATGATGACCAATGTCAGTCGAAACATGCATTGCGAAGTACAAAAACATTAAAATAAAATTCAAAAGGTGCTTTGTGTGATGCAAGATGAAGAATCAGCAACATTAGTTGAACGATAAAGAAGCTTCAATGTAAAATGATTCTGTTACAGAACTTGGACGTGCCTCCAAAGAACTGGGTGAAAGTGAATATATCCACATCAAAGTGAACGGCAGTTTCTGTGACCCTTCCCACCTTGGCCAATGGGAAGACACAAGCAACTGTCAACGTTTTTATATATGTGAAGTGCACTCCGATCCTCCACCTTTCTGTGAGACAGCGTATGAAAATGTAAAATCATATGAACAACTGGTAAGGTCTACATACATTTAGCAGTACTCTCTAAGTAATGCGTATCTAAAACATCTGTGAGGATATGTCATCATCAGATGGTGATATATAATTGTTACATCATCAACAAACAGTTATTTGGTTCTATTTTCAACATATGATAAGAAACAAAACTGCCTTACCAGAGATCTCGTTGAAGACACAGGACTTATCTCATGTAAGAGGGCCTGCTCAAGGTATGGCATAACCTCAAAGATGTTTCAGAAACACAACATGTACCACTCTCCTGGTTCTTTGAAGGTAGACAACTCTCCTATTCTCCCCTGCTTGCTCTCAGATGAAATTCATTCTGAAGCAAAAGAGTGCATGGATCTAGCATCAGAGGGAAAAGATAGTAGTTTCTGGATGCCATTTATTCCTGATAAGTTATTATGCATCTCACATGCAACTTGCTTCTTAAAACTTTTATTTTTTTTTATGATGGAATCTCTTCTGCATCACTGATGTATGCACACTGCGTTTCAAACGACACTGGTCATCTCAGGTGTCTCTTCGGTTCTTGATGAAACTGCTGTGCTTCTGTTCATTGAGTTCAATCTTTTGGGTATGCCCTCATCTGTGAGGAATTACACATCACCACAGGACACATGGGTGCACAGATGAGGACATATCCCATATGGATGGAAGTACACCAGTTCCATCAGCAATTTCAGAGTCACCTGAAGATAGCCAGTGTTGGTAGAAACATGCAGTGAGTGTATATCAGTGATGCAGATGATATTTTAACATTTAAAACCTCTAAAAGTTTCAAAAAGAGAGTCGCATGTGAGACGGCTAATAACTATCAGGAATAAATAAGGGATGCACAACAGGATGCCATGGTACAATATTCTGGATGTTAATTTTTAAGCTTTGATGCAATCTAACTTCTCTGAGTTATGAGACTTGTGTCGCTGTTTTCAGCTTGCTGAGTCTCTCTCCCCGTGGACTAGCATTAGTAAGGACACTGAATTTACTCCAGTCTCCTTTTCCTCTTCTGTATCTTTTTCTCCTCCTCCCACCAATCTGCATCCTTCTCTTTTTGATAACAGACTCTTTTATTTCCAGATTGTGAGTCATTGTATCCCTTTCACTCTCTTCATGGCCTTCAACCAGAGGAGCATCTTTTGCATAACTATAACAATCCCAAACATTACTGTGTCTAACAGAAGTCCACTAATGTTTCTGTGGAAAACAATGCCTCCATCTTCAGGGTCAAATAGCATGCCATAAGAAGACTTCTGCTCTACTCCGTTTCAGTCTACCTGCTGCCTGATTCTTGCTTATCGCTTGGTTTGCTCTTTGAACCCAAAGACAGACAGAACATTCCTGCAAAATATACCAAGAAGCTTCGAACCAGATTGCATGTCATTACATTACATTACATTACATCTGACGCTATACTTGAGAACCTCAAGTATAATGATCCTGTTTTGTGTTGCATGGAACACATGCTTATTCCAGTCATCTGTTTATTACTTCTATGCACTGGGTACAACACTCTTGCCTCTGCATGCTTCATGATCAAGATCACCCTAAAGGTCACTGAAGCCAGACCACCTTAAATATACAGACAGTCTTTCCTTTCAAACTGGCATTAACTGAAAGTTTCTGTATGAAGACTAAGAAACATTGATTAGTCAGCTACAAAAAATACAACTGTTAATCATAATGTCCACAAGGCTCTCTGAGAAACATAACAGCATGGGTATAGTGCAGTGAACTGGTCATATTAAATTTCTAGTTCCCAAATATAACACCCTCACACTTTCTGGACAACCGTAACAGGAAGAGAACGCCTGTGTGACATTAAATAATTTGGTGCATTGTAACATTATATATGCCTCAACTTAATTTACGTACAGAGACTAAGTGTATGTATCTCCATTTCCAGAAACCAACAACCAGCAAACTCGCACAGAACGGACAACAAGAAACTGGACAACTCTCGCAGACTGAAACGTACTCAACCCCCTGCATCATAATGACTTTCTATCAGTGCCCTGACAAGTCTCTCTACAATAAGGACACTAAAGAGTGCATACCGCAGGATAATGCCAACATATCCAAATTATGCCCCACGAAATAGGAACCACTGTACTGTAGGGTCACTGGGATTTCAGTATAATACAACTTGTATTAAGATAATCTCATGGGGATCACAAATATTTTTATGCTTCACACAGTACTCTACTCGCAGAAATGCTTAGCCCAGCGTGCTTCTGCATTTCAGAAGGGACATGTTCTTGAAAATATGTCCAAATCATGAAATGCCATAATGTGAACTCTATTCTTCTATTCATTTCCTCAATCTGAGGATGGTATCTCACGACACTGTCAGTAGCTACACTATATAGCAGCAAATGGCAGGATCATGTGCACTGGAAAGGATTTGGTAGGAATAGATTATGGCCTAAATAAAGGTATTAGATCTGCGTCTGCCTGGAGAGAATTTAAAAAAACATGAAAACCTCCACTAAAACAATAGGCGACCTGGCCGAAGTTCAAATCAAGCACCTCCGAAATATGATCACAAGTGTGAGCACTATGTGAACCCACTCCATGACTTCTATGTTAAAAGTGGAGATGCATTTCTACTGAAAAATGTTTTGATTCACAGTTGTAACAAAAACACATTTTTTACCCATAAAGATCACGGGTGGTACACCAACACAGGAATAAACTTTAAAAACTATCAGCAGTGAAATTCATGGCCTCTTTCTAAGCATGATAAATAAGAACAACATGATACATTACCTACCTAGAATAAAATAGGAATAGTCGCCCTACATCACTGATGCATGTGAACAGACCTGTATCATGAATTTTAGGGTCATGTTTAATGATTAAGGGCAAAATTCCAGAACCAGAAAGTCTGTAAAGTGGACATTCATTACTGAAGGCAAATATAAACGTTCTGCTTATGACAGGTATTACACCTCCAGGTTCATTTTTCATTTGTCTTTTTGCTAGGGATTTAACCCTTTTCAGTGCCAAACTGAGCATATAAGGACAATTCTGCCAGACCTGCCACATTCTGATTAGGACTAAAGATTATGGAAGATTTTTCCTGCATATAATTCAAATATATTTTATGCATTACAACATAAAATATTTAATTTTCAACAGCCAAGCTCTCTAGTATCTCTCATCAGTGATATTCAGTATTCAAGGAACAATTTTTGCATAGCCTGCAGCACTAGCATCAACTCTCTGGCTCACTTCATTTGCATGTCTCTTTCCTGGAATCACAAATAGGAGGACAATGCCAAGGTGCCATTATTTCTGTTTAATTCAACAGAAGTTGCAATAAAACAAAATCACCCCAGACCCACAGCCTGCCTAGAAATTCTGCTCCAGACTAAGGAAAGGGTTACAGGGCTTTACCGTGCCTTATGTTCATCAATAAGAAAGTATACAAATTGTAACATTCATTGAGTGTTACTCAACCACATTAGATGATGCCTGGCATTACACATTGAAGATCATGTGAGCACAGGTCAAGGAGTACAATCATTACTACAGTAGATCAGTAGATGTAGCACTATCATGTCTACACAGGAGGGACAGACACCAGACCAGGCTAAACAGTGAATGAAATTATATATAAGCATTCTGTTCTCTCAGTATAGTAAGTTTTGTATTTAATAAAGTATATTACAACACTGTATTCATTTATTTCTAATGCTTTACCATCCCTGATAGTCTGTGTGGAAACTACAAAACAAATACCCACACTCGTGTTAATCTTTGTTAGCAAGAAACCAGCATGAATGAGGCCGCAAGCAACCTGCTTGCTTTCTTCTATAGCTTTCTCTTAACCCTGAGAATGTAGGAGACATATTCCCCCATAACATCAGCTGACATTCATCAGTATTTCATGTTTCGAAGACATACAATGTCTTCGAAGTATACAATGTGGTCTAGTAGTCAGAGTTCCTGGCTACAGATCCAGAAGTCCAGGTTCGATTCCCAGCATTACCAGATTTCCTGAGAAGTAGTGGGTCTGGAATGGGGTCCACTCAGCCTCATGAGGATAACTGAGGAGCTATTTCAAGGAAATAGAGGCTCCAGTCTAGAGAACCGAAATTAACGGCCATGGGGATTCATTGTGCTGACCATGCGACACTCTCTATCTGCTAAAGTTAGCACTAACTTCACCGACAGGGTTGCGCCACAGCTCAAGTGGTTAGTCGCTGCTTCCCACCATGGCGGCCCGGGTTCAATCCCGGGTCTGGTCAAGTGGAGTTTATGGTGGACAAAGTGGCGCTGGGGCAGGTTTTCTCCAAGTACTTTGGTTTCCCCTGCCAATCTTCATTCCACCAATTGCTCCACAATCACCCTCACCTATCATCTGGGGCTGGTACAATAGGCCAGAAGTGGCTGCAGTACAAGGGACATAGTCCCACCCCACTAGAAAAAAAAACTTCGCCAGCAAGCGGCAGTCACTCAGTCAGTTACGTTCACTTGCTGACTAGAACTACAGAGTTCTTTTTTACATGTTTTCAAACATGGATTTGAACTCTTCTGTCAAACACCACCTTCATTTGCATAACTTGCAACATTCAAAGACCCAGACTAAGTTATCTCGTATCTCTTGCTGATAGATGAATGTACATAAAGCTAGCGGGTGATTGCTTATTGTTTTTAAAATAACACCTTAACATTTCTCAAAATGAAAACTGCTTCGAATAGAGAATGACACTTTAATGTTGGTAGACCTTGCTAATCACTAATGAAGACTGATATGCAAGCATAACTCTTATGCTGTAGAGATGAAATGGTAAGCTGTCTTCCTCACACGACACCTCGAGATCACTGTGAAAACTGCTATTGCGGCAAACAAGCAGAATTATCGAGAAACAAGATGAAGTTCTCATGGCAGTGACCCTTCAGATTGTGGTCTTTTAGGTTGCAGTAGCATGTAAACTTGCAGCGCAATGCTAAGATTTTAAAGGAAACTTCCTGAAAACAACACTATGTCCCTGCAAGGGACCACCATTTCTCCCTATGCCATTTCCCACCTATGATAAAAAAAAACTACTGTAGCCCTTAAAAGGGCTGCTTTACTGCCCATTCTTTCACCCAATGGTCTAAATAAGGCTCCTTTCCTTACCCACCCTCCTTGGCCTCATGACCACCTTCCTATATAAGTGAAAAATTCCTAAACATATACATTTCAACCCTGAAGATGGTTGAAGCATGTTCCTCTGAAACAGCAATATCCACCTATAAGATATGTGGTGTCAGAACCCAGGCAACCAGAATATGAATAAATGAGACATTCTACATTCAAAAAGCAGGGCAAGCAGTAGCATAGTTCGTTGAGGCACTATGCTACAAGCCAGGTCACAAGTTCAATTCCCAATGAGGTCACTGGATTTTTCAATTGACCTAATCTTTCAAGCAGCACTATGGCCCTGGGGTCAACTCAACCTCTAATAAAAATGAGTACCAGGAATCTTCCTGGTGGTAAAGGGCAGCCGGCACGTAAGGCCGACAACCTCACTGCCATCTGTGAGCCAACTGTCTAGAAAATGTGGGGGCCTTGGCATTGCACAATCCTTTGGGCCTCCACAGCCTGTTACAGGGATATAGCTTTACCTTTTATGTTCAAAAAGCATAATTTTCCCTAACAGTTCAGTGACAATGGGGATTCATCTTACAAAACTTCCATAACAAGATCCTGTACCAAGATTTCTACATGAATAATAACAGCATTAATGTACAGAATCTGGTTCCTGGTTTTTCTTGCCCTAACTGTTCTGTAGTGTCACAAATATAGCATAAACTGCAAGGTGCCATTGGAAAACATGCACATGAGTACGTTAGTGGCAACAAAATATTCAACCAATAACACAGGTTACAATATCTTATTAGGGAAATCTTACTCACTTTGTTGATTCACATCTGCGGCCAGCCACACGTGCAAGAGGTTGATCCCTTCGTCATCAAATATCTTTGGATATCTGTATTTCAGGAGCTTCCTCAGCAAGTTATTCCCCCTGTTGGATGACAGTTTCATCTCCCTGCAATAAATGACATAACAATGTATCAGTTACTTCAGTAACTTAATCTCAAATGCTAGGAACAAACAAAAATAGTAGATGTTTAAAAACAAAGTACAGTAAACCTTCATTATAATTGACTAATAGGGTCAACAGGTGTCCATTATCACTGATGTCAGCTATAACAGTGTGAAGGGGTATTCAGAGAAGTTCAACATAGAATATATAAGCCAATGCACGCAATAAACACAGGAACACACAATGCAATTACATAAAGTTTTTATATTGCAGTCCTTTTTTTATTTTAAATAGTTTGTAACTATAAAACCTTCTTCAACATCTCTAAGAATTCACAATCGTATATAGCCAGATTTTGTTCGTTATAACTGAAATCCATTATATCTGTGTCTGTTATAATGAAGGCTTACTGTTTACAGAACACTACTTGGACCTACCAGCAATAACGTAATGGGGAACACAGGACATGAGTATACAGCAAGGAGCAATATAATCTGTAATGTGGTCTTCTGAGCTATATGAGTAATACCATGTATAATCTGACAGATGAGTACCAACACTTTGGAGGAACACACTGCCTCCATCTTCAGAGAATAAGTGAGTCAAGCTGGGAAGTAGGAAGGATAAGGAAACCACGAAAATGAGTTCCAGAGGACCAGTCACTCAGAATCAAGGACAAGTAGAGTGCTGTGGCCAATTGGAACAGGGAACTTCAGGCCCTGAAAAGGGATACACTGTTAATTGCAGGGTATTATTAGGGTTGTGGAGAAAAGTAGATTAAGACATATAATGCAGGTGGGGAGACAACAAATGTATACAGAATGTTGGTGGAGTAATCTTTTTGAATTTAAACAACAAAACCAAACTCCGTGATTTTAGTCCACAAGCGAACTATACCAACCGAGCGACTGCCGCTTGTCAGCGAAGTTTAGTGCCAGCTTTTGCAGATAGAGGGCGTTGCGTGGTCAGTGCAACGAATCCCCATGGCCATTAATTTCGGTTTTCTAGACCGGAGCTGATATTTCCTTGAAATAGCTCCTCAATTATCATCATGAGGCTGGGTGGACCCCGTTCCAGATTAACCACTTAAAAGACTGCAAAGACTACTTTGTAGGAAGAGGACTAATATGTTTCACAACCTTATCATTTGACACTATAGAGTGCAAGATATTAAACAGCACTGTAAAATAACCTGCAAGAAAAGAGTTCAGTATTCCTGTTCAGCACAAGTCTGTACAACACTTACTCTGTGCAGATAACTTCATCATCAGTTCTCCTGATCAGTAAAATTGGTCCTGGATATTTTGACAGCTGTTGATAATTATTGAGATTGATATAATCTCGAATTGTCTTCCTGACAATTGGCTCCAATAGACTCGGCATCCGCAGGATGGCAAGCGCCACAATGTCATCAAATGTGGCATCCAATATCTACACAGAATAATATCATCAAATAAATTTGACTTTAAAACTTAAATTATGCCCAAGTTTTGAAACAATCGTGCACATCCATGAGGACCTGATGAGACATGAGAAAAAAAAACAGTCAGGCTTATTCAGTCCTTCTTTCAATACACTAAACCTTGATGTTAATTTAAATGGTATTTAAAAATGCAGTTCCCAGTGCACAGACAACACAATTTATCACCAATACAAAGACCAGACCATTAATGCTATTAATAAAACTGACAGCTGTTTATTCTGAGAATCATTAAAAATATATTAACACATTATGGACAAAATGCAAGATTCTTAATGTTGAGGGAAGTCATAAATACAGTACCCAATGTAATTTCAAAGGTTAAAATATCTATCTACTGAAGTACATGGCTACTATAAATGATTAATTCGTTTTTAAAATGCTATATAGTATCCCTGTACATTGCATCACACACCAGAAGACAATAATCTTAAGTATAAAAAAAATTACTATACAACAATGCAGCAGTGAAATATCCATCTGAAACTGCAAAAATGCAGCCAGCCTCGCTGGCTGAACGGGGCTGATAGCGAGCGCCAGTACTGGCAGGGTATGGAGACTGGTAGAATATTGTCGCGTATCGCGGGG